ATTGATTTTCTTCTGCTTTTTAGTTAGTCCTAAGTATTATCAGTGATTAGAAATTGAATGGCTGTGATTGTTTCAGGGAAAAATCCATGCAGTGCACATGGCAGCGCGAGAGGGGAACCTGAGGGATCTACAGAGCGCCCTAGATCGTCGTAAATTTGCAGTTGCGAGAGATGGATCATCGCCTCACAATGCTACACCCCTTCACGTAGCAGTAGTATTTGGAAACACCACTATTATCAGGTGCGCGAATATACAATACAACTCCACAAAATCCAAAAATTATTAATATACAAAATATAAAAATTAAATTAAATATAAATGAACATACCGAGTATCCATAAAGTATCACAGTTAAAATCAGAATATTCTTCTAAAAAAATTAACGCAAAAAATCTATAATATTCTGGTTCTCCTCCAATTAAATCAAATTTTAATTTATTCAAATTAAAATTGCTTATGCAGCATGTGAAAGAGGTTGGATAATTTATTCTGATAGAATATAAAACACGATACTTTCATGAGTTGGCAAGCCTGTCTAAAGTGATTAAAAATTAAAAAACAGGAAATGTCAGTGCACTGTATGTCATTTTTTCGATCATGCGCATTTCCAACACATGCTTCTTCGTTAAACATATTAATTATACAGTACTACTCGCTTATTACTATTTTTTATCAGAAGATTAATCTTCAGAGGAGTAGATCAGATACAGAAGTTATTATACAAATTAAATTGTTCTCCATAATAAGACGCGAGGACAATGATGAGTATAAAAAGGGTATACCTTGCGATTATGATCGTGAAGCTCGTGGAATTCCCGTTTATAGTTGGAAATTAAAGGCAGAGAACGAAAATAACTTGTCTTGTCAGATTCCAATCAAGCTTTATCGATTCTTGAGCCTTCAGCTTGGTTAATCATTTATATTTTCCTTAGATATCTGGCAGGCAGGTTTCCAGAAACTGCTCACGCAATCGATCTCGATGGACGAACCCCTTTACACTATGCGGCCACCCTCGCAGACAACGGCCATTATTACAATCTTCTTCTTCACCTGGGTGCCAATCCTTTAGTTCAGGACAAAGTGAGTTCATTTCGATCAACGGACAGTTATTTTCGATAGAAATTAAGTGTGGTAAGATAGACAGTAAATAGAATAATTTTAATTAATGATAAATCAAGATGATACTTTCTAATTGGAAAAATTTTCATAATTTTCAAGAAATATTTCCTCGTCCATTTAAAAATTAGGTTTTGAGTTATGTTATCACCGAAAGCTCAATTTACGATTTTTAGTCTTTTTGACTGAAAAAATAGAAATTAATTTTAATAATTTTATCCAGTGATAGTCGAATTGATACTTTTGAATTGGGAAAATATTTACTCGTCAATTTTTTCAATTATGAATATATGGCAAAGTTAAATCGAAAGCTCGGTTGATCGTGATAATAAATTTAAAGCGATCGAGTTTAGCATTAAAATATAATAGGCTGCATAAATTGATGGAAATTAGCATCGATGTATTTTCAACTTTATTATTCACGTAGTTCGGAGAAAAGGCGGAGTATTACAAGCAAAATCAAACCGAATTCTCTCACAAATCGCTGCTTCGCGATTTCGGGGCTAACGAGAAGCTCGCAGACGAGATGCTAACGGACAAAGGTATTTCATTCGAATGAGGCACTCACGAGCACGATCGACCACGATGATCGTTCAAAGCACCATCAAACATCTCACTTTACGTTTTTACCTTCGATACATGGAAGTCTAATCCAAACCAACCTCCTGATAAATATGGCCGCGTGAATTTATTTTTTATAACAAATACCACCACGTTGCTTTTTCACACGTGTTAGTTTTACCATCGTGTAGCAAAACTCATCACGAATTAGATAATCTGATGATTAAAATAGTTGTTCCACGAGATTGGACGTAATTGACAATTGAATACGAACTTTTGACCCTTCAAATTTTAACTTAACCTGTTTATAAAAATTTTAAGTAACTGAACTCAATGAAATTAAAAGTAAGATAGATATTCTGCGATATTGAAAGAAAAAAAAAGGAAAGTCAAGGAAAAATTGCTCAGGTTTCAAAGGGTTAACTCGAGCCAGAATTTTATGAAATTTTCCAGAATAAAGATAATTAGAAATACTAGAATATAGTAATCTATTATACTTAGAAGTACATAGATCATTATTTCCATCATTTCTAGTCATCTTGACAACAAAATGACAAAGTCGATCTCATATAGATCATTCTATCCATCACTTCTAATCACCTGGATGGCAAGACGACAAAGTTGATCTCATGTAGATCATTATACCCATCACTTCCAATCGTCTCAATACTCAAGTTTCAAAGGGATAACTCAAAGATCAGAATCCCACAAATTTTCCAGAATCAAACAAATGAAAAATAACATAACCTCCATAGATCATTACTCCCATCACTTCTAATCACCCTGATGACAAAATTTCCCCATTAATATATACGCGGCTGTTCACGTTTCCACTTCTATCATCCGGACATTCTCTCTCTCTCTCTCTCTCTCTCTCTGGTTGCGGCGGCAAACAGTTCCTGGAGGCGACACGTTCTCCGCGCGACGAGACATAACCGAACCAGAGACCCTAGCCACCTTGGAGAGGTGTTTCCGTCTTCTAATCGGCGTAAAGCACGGTATGACACCAAAATCACCTGGGAACTCCGGTACACTGATCGGTCGTTGCCTGAAACGGCCTATATTCGATCGTATCAAGCACCGTGTGACACGCATGGACCACAATCTCTTTGATGTGATCTGGCCTGCTTTAAAGAAATACGGTAACCCAAATTACAGCAGCAAAGCGAGCAGCGCTTATTCGACAATGAGCAACCTCGATGAAGACGAAACTTTATCCATAGTAGCACCCGATTACGAAAGCTACACCGTCTTCTCCGAGTTCTTCGATCCGCTAATCAGAGACATTCACTGCGTAACAGCCAGTGGAGATCTTCCCGATCATCCACCGGCAAAATTTTTCTACGAAGAAGAAGACAGCGAAGAAACAGCTGACACGGTGGACGAAATAGTCATCTCGACGATCGAAGCCTACGATCTAGATCCTCTAGTTAAATACGTTCAAGCCGCGGTGATAGAGTGTTGTAGAAACCTCGAGAATTACACATTTCCCTTGACTCTAACGGTGAACCAATTGGAAGAGGTAGAACGTGTGATTACCAACGAACTGATGAGCCAGGAGATCTCAGGGATGATGGCTGAAGGTAGCAGCGAGGACGAGCCAGGAACTTACTTCACTCTCAATGAGATCCTGGATCAGCCTAGTCCGATCAGAGCTCAATTGGCTGCCAGTGGTCTGCTCTTGCCGATTACAGATTTTGAAATACACGATGACAGACGTTTTCATGGTAGACACTGGCCATATGGACGAGGAGTTTACGTGGCCTCTGCGGGAGATCTAGCTGCCTGGGTGAACGTGCAGGATCATCTGAGGGTGATCTGTAGAACCAGTGACAACAGGCCTGGCCTAATTGGTCGTGCTTACGTGAGGCTGGCCAAGGTAATGGTGATTCTGGATGAAAAATTGAAGTTCAAACGGGACAAGAAGTTAGGCTTCCTGAGTGCACGGCCGCAAGCTATCGGCAACACTCTTAGGTTCAGCGTGATCATCAAGTTCCCAGAGTTGTCGAAGGAGTTCGATCATCTGAAACACTTGTGCGTCGTTCGTGGTTTGAGTATACGTGAAACGACGAGACAGGACACAGTTAGAATCGGCAATCAACAATCTTTGAGCACCACCGAGTTGCAGACTCTTCAAGATTTTTCTAGAGCTGTTCTGAACATTCTGACGTTGGAGAAGGAGCTTACGATCAATAATTCGATGAAGATCGCCAGCTTATTGGCGGGGATTTTTCGCAAAAGAAACAGTGCGAAACGTTTCCAGAATTAACGAGAAAGAAGTGATGAATGAAGTTCGTGAAAGGCTTTATTTTTCATCGTCTATACTCTAAAATGTTTCTATTTCCTAATTTTTACATCGATTTTTCTTCTTCTTCTTCTTCTTCTTTGTTTCTTTTTTTTTTTGTTTTTTGGGTTTTGTTAACGGAATAATACGCTTATACATGGAAACCTTCTGTGATAATTCATGAGCCAATACACACGTTCGACTGTCAATTAATCTTCATAGACTGAAAAATTTAAATAGGAGAGACCATTAGCGTATATCGACAAACAAAAAGGGGAACGTTGGAAAGATGTGTGTGAACGTTATTCTATTTCTCGTGCACCGAGTTACGATATTTAAAATGATTAGCTACTCGGAGGGACGCTGGATTGTTCATTAGGTTAGTAGAATGAACGTTATTGGTACACGGACAGTTGTTATGACGCTTTCAACATGTGTCGCACGACACCATGCTTACGTACCTAAGTGAAATGTGTGTACAGGGTGTTCAACCGGTTGCAGATATTTATGGGGCAATTCTGCAAACCAAAAACCCCCAAAAAATGAAAAATATCGAAATTATATTTGAGGCTTCGTTTTTTACTTAAAAAACAACTTCTCAATTAATTAAAAAATGGGTTAAAATATTCCTTATACCAGGTGAACCTCGAAACACTGATCAGTGTATTCAAGGATATTTTAGTTAATTTTTTAATTGCTTATAATTAATGAACTAAAGTCTCGTAATTTCGTTATTTTGTTGTTTCTTACTTTGGTTTGTAGAATCAATCCTTAAAATTTCTCCCACCATTTATCGAACATCCGGTATGTAGCTGAATCGAGAAAATTGGTCACAGATATTTGATTTGAATTATCGAAGAAGATGGAAACAAAAATGATAAATTCTTAAAAAAAGAGCTTCTTTATGTTTAATGCACGAGATCGATGTTCACACGAAACAGAAATGGCGTAGCACATGTCTTTCCAACTTGATGTATTCAATTTATGATGAACTGTATATTTTTTCTGAATGGTTACTGTACGTAAATTATTATATATAAATGAAACCCTTCACCTGCCACTTCTTATCAGTGTGTGATTCTTTATCGTAACATTCTCGCAGTTATATGTAAACGTACTTTTGCATTTGGAATTCTATGTTGTGGTAAATTTGTTGTATTACTATATGTTTGTGTATGTGTGTGTTTGTTAAACACAGTTTTTCAGAGTGGAGAAATATGCACTATATGTATTCACGATACACCTTTTGTTTGTGCAAACTTTGTTCTCGTTTTTATAGAAAAAAAATGAAATGTACATATTGATGTTACGAATGCATTGCACTTTGATTAGAAAAAAAAAATAGAGAATGAAGAAATTTTAATATTGTATGAAATAAGTGCAATGCGTTTTTGCTAGGTTTATTTCTAACTTGTTAAAATGAAAATAAATCGTTTTTCAGATGACCAGCAGGTTGATATACCGCTGTTTCGAGAAGAAGAAGGTCGTTACTTGGCATCGTGTAAGTTGAGTGAATTGAATCGATGAAAAAAAGGAAATTTCACTGGTCTAATTGAAGTGTGAAATAATTTTCAAATTAAAATCGATTGAAATGTAAAATAATTTCAAAATTAGAACCGATTGAAATGTAAAATAATTTCAAATCGGTGAGTTAACTGGTCCAATTAAAACTTAAAATAATTAAAAAATTAAAATTTTCACAGCTCTCGGCGATCCATTGATCAAAGGTTTAACAGAAGTAGCCAACAACCGTCCAAATGATCCGGTTACTTATCTGGCTACATATTTATACAACTTTGCTAATAAAAGCAAAAGCAGCCCGCAGGAACAGGTAAATTTCATTTTAAACATAATTTGGTAATATAATTTTTGCTACATTAAATACAATTTGAAAATATTTCAGGAACCCAATGTGTTAATTATTCCTGATCGACCCGAAGAGAATATAGAAAACATAGAAAATAAAAATGCGGACGAGGATGCTGGCTATCCTCAAAGTCCAGGTTCCGATGTGCCAGAATCAGCGTTTAGTAATCCTAACAGAGTATGTCAATTCTCGTTACAATCGTTTTTAAAAAAAAAGTAAACTTCTAACCATTAAAATAACAAAAATTCAATTTTCTTTAGGATGAACATGGACAAAGCGTGATCCATTTCGCTGCCGTTCGATCTTACGCGAAAGATGGATTATTCCATCTACTTCAAGAAAGCCAAGTTAACGTTGGTTTCAGAGACGAATTATACAGAACAGCTAGAGACGTCGCAGAACTGGCGAATATTCGAGAAAACGTCGACGAAATTGATCGTTACGTGGCTTACTTAGCAGCAAGAGGTGAAATATGATTTCCATATCAAGTAATAAAAATTTGAAAATCTGTTGTATGATCATATATCAAATTTTGGATTTTTAAATATTTAAAAATCTTCACAGAAAAATTTTCACTATGAATAATTATGCAGAATTATTTTCTTAACAATACATTTGTAATATTCGAACAGGTGAAACTGAGAAATTAGTCGAACTATTATTAGAAGGCTACGACCATATTTTGGATATAGAAGACGAAGGTGTGAACATCGTAGACATTGCTGCTGACAGAGGACGAGAAGCAACCGTACAATTTTTACAATCTATTCCGAATTATGTGGTAAAATGAAACAAACAATGTTACAAGAAATTTTGAAAGAAAATATTAAAACGTCCTGTGTTAAAAAAATAATTATTGCAGACACAACGTGAAGAAGTGCATCAAGAGATTAGAATGGGTAATGTAGCAAAGGTGAAAGAATTGTTGAGTAAAAATAATGGAGGAGGGAAACTATTAGCGATGGGAAAGAACTCGATGAGCAGATGTGCTCTTCACATTGCTGTGCTTCGTGAAAACGAAGAAATGGTTGGATACATTGCGAAAACGTATCCAGAAACTCTACGTATTGGTGACAATGTAACTATTTCCAAACACTTTCACAAAAAAACATTAACATCGTTTTTTATTTTTTTTAAATTGTAAAAGAGGTGATGAATTTTTGTTGTTCCATTTCAGTTGGACAGAACTGCTTTACATTATGCAATGGGTTTACCATTGGTTGAAGAGTTAAGCACTACTCTTATAAAAACGGGTGCAAAACGCATAACTAAAGATTTAGTGAGTAGCTTTCTTGGATTAAAAAAAAAAAACCAAGAATATTAGGATATTAATTTATGTTAAAAATTTGTAGAAATCACGACAACCCTCTTACTATTTTATGAACAAGTCAGATATCGAGAGACTTCAGGAAGAAGAAGACAGTTTGATCCAATAGATCCATTGGAGGATGCTAATTGTTTACTTACACCTTTAAATATTTGTATGTGACGAGTGTGACATACATTGAGAAAGAGCAAACAATGCATTCAATGGAAGTAGAAGAAATAATCATGTGCCACTTTATACGTTCCCTTGTGTATTAGGATTACAGTTTTCAAGCGACCTTTGATACTCTTTTTCTCAAGGTATGTCTGGCGTGACGAGCTAATAGAAAGCACTCTCCTGATCCAGTGTAATAATTACGATTATGCAACGAGCCTACGTCATGTAATATACAGTATTAACAATACAAACAATAAGAGAACTCAGTTTTTTTCATACACGTTTCTTTTCCATTACCTTCAATCAACTTCTTTTTGTTCCCCCTTTTTTGCTTCACTTAACCTATAAACATTCAAGAATCGAGTCGAAGAGAGAATGTTCACCTTGTCGTGTTCAATGACTCAATAAGCTTAAATAATCGATCGAATAATGTTATTCACGATTATCATCAGAAACATATTAATCTGCTAAGTTGATCGTACAAGATAAACGTGAAAAAGTGAAGGTTTAAAAATGAAATCATTCATCAGAATATCTAAGAATATCGTTAGAAATCAATCTAATTATGTGATCATTCAGCACAAGGATAATCTGTCTCCTAAGCCAAGCACACAAATCTCCAATCGAAGGTAAAATATGTAAAGAAACGCTGCGTTTCCGCCTCTCTATAATTCTACCTTGACTCAATATTCAAGAATCGAAACATGCGATAGTTCTTCAAATTCTAGCCATTCGATAAGATAATATCACTAATAAGATACAGTATTTATTTGACTGTTAATCTTTGATTAATTTTGCGTCTTCCTACCAGAGTCCGAAACATCTTCCTGAAAGTCTTCAATGTCGTCAACGATTCGTTGCCAAGGTGTAGGATTCACATAGGCCGGTTTGGCCTTTTGATGAGCTATAACGTGAAGAGAACATTTACGGTAGAATAAATCTTTTATTACACGAGAAGGTTCTTTCCACAAAGAGGTAAAAAGAACTAACGTAAAAGTCCTTGCGTGGCAGGTTTCGGTTTGTTCTTCGCTGTTTTTCGCCACTTCTCATAAGCTTTCGTGCTGTCCTCTAATCTTTTTTTCCTTTCTTCCTCGATCTGTTTTTGTTTTATTTCTTCCTTCTTCTGGCGTGCTACGTAAACATCAAGAATGGTCAAATCTTCATTCGAGGTATAATTGCTACCTTTTTCTTTTTTACCTTTTTCTTCTTCCTTCTTTTTACGAGCCCACTGACGAAGATACAGTGTCTTCACCACAGATGCTTTATCTTCGACCTGTTTCAGTTGCTTCTGCAACTCCATCTCCTTCTCGACCACAGCCTTCTTCCTCTCCTTTTCTTTTTTCTTCCTCTTGGACCACTTCAAGAAATTCTCTCGTTCCCGGGATTCCCTGTCCTCCTTCTCGCGAGCCAGTCTCTCCACCTCTTCTTGTTTCTTCCTCTCCACCTGATCTTCCTCCTCCTTCTTCCGTCGCGCGACTTGCTCCTTCCTTCGAGTCCACTCGGTGTAACTGATTTTCTTCGCGAGATCAGACTCGTTCGACTTGTCCTCCGAAATTCGGATGCTGGATAACGACGAGGTAGAAACTTGCACGATTCGATGTCCGTTGATCGTGTACCTAAACGAAGAGTATTGTTTCGTCGGTTATGAAGAATTAAACATCCAACGAGAAGAATAAGCTTGTCAAACATATTGAAGGATATAAAAGAAACATCAGGATGCTCGTTTACAATTTTCATAGGATACCTCTGCTCCTCAGTGTCGATATCTCGATAAAGCTCGTTGCTACTGTCTGTTTTATGTTCCCTGGCAATTTTACATCGTCTCTCAACTCCGTTCGAGGATCTACACGAGGTCACAGACTTGGAACGTGCAACGCTTGATTGCAAAGACGCAGATGTTCCCGGCGAATTCAGGGAGTAACAGCGATACGTTTCTTGAGCCGAAACTTGATCACCTGCTTGGTTCACGTACGGTGTAGTCAAGTTGTTGTCGATGGACAACGCGGACATCATGTTGTTTATCTTCGCGGAATCACCGCAATTAGCCATGATTTGTCCATCGTCTTTGGAACTGACCTTCACTCGAATTTCAACCTCGTGTTCCACATCCTCGTTATTTAACGTTTCCGCGTAAATTGCCGGATTGATGAACCGTATTTCCGGACCGGATCTCGAGCTCGTAGGCATCCCACCGTAGCAAATCAGTCCATTGCTTCGTGAATTTCCTCTTGGACTATCGTCGGAGATGAAATTTCTCGAGCAATCAGAACTGATTAGTTGTACACCGTTTTTGGTATTATCGTTGCTTCCGGTGTACATTTCATTAGTGTTATCTCCTTGTTTCCAATCGTACCAGCTGTCAACGTCGCTGTCGAGCATTATCGAACGTTCCAAATCCTGATCAGGTAATATATAATGAAGGTTACAAATAGACAAAAGTATATCGAAATTAAAGAAACTCTTCACATATCATTAGCATCCGATTAGTCCTTAGGAGTTCCTTTGGAACTCGCGTGTGCATATTCGTCCATGATCCACGAGGTATTATTGCACTTTTAAGGAACTTTTGTTAGTGATGTTGGAATGGGACTATGTTACAACGTGAAATTTATCGAGAAATTAATTTTGAACTTGGAGGAAGTGTCGCTATTAATTGGAGAGAATGCTCTCTGTTAAGTTTGTTGATGCTAATTCAATAGTTTATATTGATCGGTGCTGTAAATTATTCTGGCAATCGAGAAAAACAGATCACGCTCAATGTTTCTCGATATATTTCGAACAGTCGATTTTAGTATATTTAGTATCGTTTATATTAAAACGAATGGATATCGTGAAAAAAAATTAACAGACAACAATTTTTGTTTTTCGTATTTGTTGGTTTTAGAATATTCATTTACTTTCAAAAATAATTCAAGAATCGTTGAAAAAAATGAGAACTGAATTATTTTTTGAAGGCAATGATACGCAAATAGTTTTATTCGCTAAAGTCTTTATTTGTTCCTTAACTTATTATGTATCCTTATATTAACTTGTGCTTGATCGACGTATCACTTAATTCTTGATTTAAAATAAATCGAGATCTTAGAGAAATTAGCGTTCAGTTGATATGATATTTCGTAAGTTCGACTCGGTCGCATTATTCTGCCGTGTAATCATAAGATACTCTTCTGTGATCTCCTCAGGTTGTATCTTATTGAAGTACGTTTCTCGTTCTTGATGTACATAGTATGTGTCGTCGAAATTGAAGTGCAGTCCGAGTACGATATTCAGTGCAGAAGCGTCATATGCGTGGCAACCGGAATACCGGTATTGTGGTTTCTTATTAAATCGGCAACCTGCTGATTGAGCTCCTATAACAAGCGCCAATTATGTAGATATTAATATTAATTATATTTGAATATATAATGCACGAAGGAAAATAATTCTGACACACATACCAATGGGACATATACAATCTCTTGTCAGCGCACATTGAACCCATGGCAACATTACTTTCTCTCTAATTTCTTTAACATTTCTAATTACTAAGTGTGATGCTCTTATTAAAGGGAGAAAGAAGAAACTTTCTGCAGAAACGTGAAAATATTCATACATCTTTGGATGTGTTAAAGAGCTAATTGCATGCCTTGTAGGCCAAGTTAAAATTCCAGATTTTGGTAAAAGATACTTTGAAATGTCTGAAGAATTCAAGCGCACATTTGAATCCATGTACAATATGTTTCCTAATGTGTTTAAAGCTGTCTATAACATGCACAAAAACATAATGAAATAGAAAGATTCTTTGTTTTTAATGATCATACTCTAAAATATTACTAAAGATTTAGTTACCTGAATAACTAAAGGTCTATAAACATGCAGTCTATCATCTTCAACATGGGCTGGAAATGGACTTATATCGAAATGAATCACATTACACTTTGTAGAATTACAAGCTGTTCTAATGTTTTGCAAAGAATCATCATTTAATCCAACACTATAAATGATAATACTGTTATTTGGCAAAAAGTGACTGACATTTCTCACAAACCCATAAATGTGTTGTTCATTTCCAGGCCTTATAAGAGACACAACAGTCACATTTTGGGATTTAAGACTAAATGGTGTTGTGCTTGTTTGTCCATTGAGACCAAGCATTGCAAGATACTTGGAATCTGTTACTAAGCGTTTTTCTTCAACATCTTTTAAATTCTCCTGTAAAAATAACATGGCAAAATTAAAAACATTTTCATTAATAATAAAAACTGGTCTGATATAAATAATATAAGAATATTTACTTGGAAGTTTCGTAATTGCTTGTGTGTTTCTGTCACCAGAGTTTGAATGGAAGGTCGTTGATTGCTGAAAGCAATAAAAATAATGCTGCTCCCTGCTATGCAGATAAGCAACAATAGCAGGCCCTTGGTACGCATCTCTCATCATTTAATCGGATTTATATTCAATTTTTAGACGACAATTAGGTTGATACATTACGTTAGAAACATTACGCATAGGTTATACGATGTCCATGACATGACTAATTCTTGTAAAACATACTATTTTAACTAGAATGCATCGCTAACCGATAAGCATCAAGGAGTATTAACAGATAGATATGATGAGTCCATTTCAAACATTCGATAATTTAAACCTTCTAATAGATTAGATTAAACCCTTTTCTTGATAACAAAACACTGTCAGTGAGCTAGCAGACGCCGCATTTTTAGGAACATTTTAGTCGAGTGGTAGCTCTGTATTATGGCACTGAAACCGCATAATTGCATTTTCAGACCGCAATATGTTAAAATATTTAATCTAAATGAAACAAGTGCTTGTTAATTTTTTTACAGGACGTAATTTTACTTTCAGATATGTGCAACATGTTTTACTAAACAAAAATAATTCAAACTGATTCAAAAATA